CCAAGGAATGCAAATTGAAATTCCCCAGGCCTGGGAATTTCCACTACCAACCCTAAGATGGTGTCAAGGAGCACAGGTAGGGATGTTGCTACGTAGCAGGATGCAGGGATCACAACTGATCCTTAGATCCCAAATTAATGAACAGAATCTCACATCCAGTAACTTGTGGAGCTGTGTCTTTGAAAGCCATCCGAGATTCCCAAATAACAATTGCCACCCCTCACCCTAAATGCTTCATCCAGAACTCATATAGGCACATTTCCAAGAGAAATTTCCACACCTAGTAACATCTCAACAATCCACATGAGGTCAGCCATAAAAGAGGCTTTATTAATCTGGCATTTAATAGCAACAGCAATATACAGAGTTACCTAGTTAGGGTAATAAAACATCTTTAAGAAAACAAGCTCAGAGAGTACCAAGGACCCCTCATGCAGAATTATGAATATTTTTATAGGAATAATCCTATTTTTGCTAAGAGTCAAAGAGTATTTGCTTTAAGAGCTTTCACTTTTTAATATATTTATCACAGAATTATCATTAGCCTCAAAGACTTCCATAGGTTTAAAAATGGTTTATTAATAAGGTGTTTCAGACATTTCAAATCAAAAGTTCAGGAGAAAATTAATTTCTTAATAAGCTAACCTTTGATATTATGTCTTCTCTTTAAGGTACTTATTCAAACTTATACAACCATCCGAAACTTATTGAGGTGCCAAAAAAGGTGAGTGGAAATTTCCATTACACTTTAAAAACTTCTTATTGCAATGAATGGGATCCAAAGAACTATTAAGAGGTATATTCAAAAAATTGACTAAAGGGATATTTAATTTCAAATGCAGGTGGTCCTCGACTTACCGCCATAATTGAACTCAGAATTATGGTTGTAAATCATTGTAATGGTACACTGAGATATCATGTGACTGGAATCAAAGTTACAAACTTTTTTTATGACAGTTAAGGGAATCTGTTTTCTGCAAAATTTTGCTGGAAACTAGAAATAAATGTCAGAAAGTGGCAAAAAAGTCACAAATTAACTTCCCTTTAGATCTAACAGGGAAGATGTGTTATGGTTTCCATCAGTAGGGATTTTCCTTAGATGGGTCCCAGGAGGCAGGCCTTCTCTTCCAGGACATTCTCCTTGTAGAACATTCTCCCCGCTGAAGTTAGGCTCACTCCTTCCCTGCTATTGTTTAGGAAGTCCCTCAAGACCTAGTTATGTCACCCAGACTGGGTTTTGGGGAACTAGAGACAATTATAGTTGGCTCCATTGTGACTGATATTGCTCTCTCCATGGGGTTTGTGTATTTTAAAATGTTTTGATAATAATCTTATTTTAATTATTTCTTTTTATCCTTTTATAATAATCATTTTTATCCATTTGCTGTTTTATTCAATTGTACACCATCCAAAGTTATTTTGTGTGAGTTGAGCTGCTGTGTGTGAGAGGGAGAGGGAACATACTGTAGAAACAGTGTAGAGTTTGTGATCTGTCTCTTTGAAAGTTAGCCCTTTTAGGGAGGGAGGAAAGGAAGGAAGGATCCAGCTTGTACCTTATCAAAGTGCTGAACAGGAATGAATGATTGAATGAATATATAGTGTATGTATAATGAATTCACATATCAAATATGAATTAACATAGGCACCAGTTTTTCCCCCCAATGGCACCTAAACATTTTGTTCGGTTTATTGGCGGGCTTAGCATTTTGGTTTCTGCACATTTCATTGAGCCAGTTAACTCATTGTTTTAAAAAATTCATTAGTTCCATGTATTTTTTATAGCTTAACTCAATTAAAGTATCTAAGAAGACAGGAATCCCAATAGATGTTTTGCCTCAGAGAGGACCTACAGCTAAACAGACTGAACGCATGCAAAGGATTAATGACGGTGATTTGCCAAGAATATCCACACAACCACGCTCTAAGGATGAGAGTAAGGAGGATCGGAAAGCTAGGAAACAAGCTATTAAAGAAGAGCGAAAAGTAAGTTTTATTTGATTTTTTTTTAAAGAAATAAATGTATTTAATTAATTAACCTTATTAACCTGTAATTGACTGAAGCAAGATGGATTACTGTTATGTCATAACTCAATTATATAAGGTATTAAACAATAGAAATGCTGCTTAGTATATATATTATTCCCACAGTATGGAACTCAAAATAGATTATTTAGGATACCCATTTAGGCACTGAATTTAGCTTTAGTGAGATTGTGGCTTCATACACACATAGAACTTGACAACTATAAAGCCATCCCAATGAACAAAGAAATGGCATGAACCTAAATAGAAGGCCTAAGGTAAAATTTAAGGGTAATATCAATAAATTGGCCATTTTTTTCTTACACGGTAGAGAGAAGGGGATTAAAAAAAACATTTTAAGTTATAGGTTGTCCTCCATTTAAGGCCACAACTGGGCCCTGAATTTTGGTAATCGAGCAAAGCAATCATTAAGTTAATGTGAGGGTCATTAACTGGAACACTGAGGAAAAGGAACACTGGGTGGGATGGGGCAGAGATAGGGCACAGGCCCTCCACCAATCCATGAGGCCAAGGCCTTTCCTTGGAATTGAATTGAATTCCAAATCCTGTTCAAGGGCTGGTTTTAATCAGTAAAGGTCTACGTGGCTTGCCACTTGTGTACTTACAATGCCCTCTTTCCCTGTCAGATTCAGGCTATCTTGTATGTTCTTTTTGAGGGGGCTGGCTCTTGTGAAGTGGAAGGTATGGGGACCTGCAGGCATGCTTTCTCAATGGCAATTCTCACATTATGGAATACCATTGTCCATTGAGGATTTGGGTTTGCTCTACTTAAGGCAGTAGAAATAATCTTGTTCCATAGTTTAGTTCAGATGATGGCCATGGGCTGCTTTTATAGTTTGTTTGGGGGTTTTTTGGGGCGGGGGAGAGGGGCATTTTTGAAAGAGGTGACAGTTGCTTTTTACCCTTATTGTTTTTGTTTGCTTTTCATAAATTGTCCTAAGTTTTTAAAAAGTGTAAGTGAGCGGAGTAAAATAGAAATTGTTGTTTTACATGGTTCAGTGGCAGTAATTGAGAACTCAGTCAAAATATTTAAGGTTAACTCAAAGCTGTGGAAAAACCTGTTAGTTTAAAAAAAATAATCCCAGAATCCCAGACCAAAAGGGGTGGGACTTCTCAATGTCAATTAGCAAATTCCATGTCTTCCATTGTAACTTAGTAATTATGGAGGAGAGACCCGCTTGACAACAGACTACTGGTAAGATAAAACTGGAACAAATCTTGCCCCTTCTTTTTGTCTCCCCAAAAGTCCATTGTTTTTTTACTCACTTTGTCCCTTTCAGTGAGTTTTTTTTTCTCTTATTTCTTGTGGAAAATGTTTCTTTAGGAAGAAGCAGGGAGACATAAGATGCTAAGGCTTGTGAATTGCCCCTTAGGCAAGATATGGGTAGAATGATTTGGAATGGTGTTTATCTTGATTTGATTAGATCATCTCTAAATGGCATACACTATATGCAGAGTGGGGGGGGAATTCCTGGGGGTTTTTTTGTTTGTTGTTTGTTTTACTGTTGTTGCAGTGAAAAGAAAAACGGAAGATACGTGCCCTGTTTTAAAAAGTATGAAGGGAATTATTAACATCTGAAAAATTAGGCATCCTTTCAGTACATTAAGTCTCTTCTGCCAAGAGTTCTGAGAAAGATATTGCTGAAATTGTATCTGCAATGCTAATTGCTTTGAGAACATTTTCACGAAGCAATATATTAATATATTAAATTATTTCCCTATTAGGAACGCAGGATAGAAAAGAAAGCAAACAAGTCGGCCTTCAAGCAAGAGAAGATAAGGCAAGAGAAAGAGCTGCTTAACATGAAACAGAATCTTCAAGGACTCAAGCTGTCATAATGGATGAACTGCTTCTTGTTAAGGACGATGGCCATTTCCTTCTGGTTGTTAACTGGAAAAGATACTTTTGATTTAACACACCAGAAGTGTAGAAATAATGACTGTGTTGTTTAAACTTGTCTAACCACCAATGTTTACTTACATGGAAACAGTTTTTTGGTTACCACAACAATAAAACTAGGGTGTTTTTCTATTTTCACAGTAACAATAAAACCCCTTTTCAAATTCATCTGTCACCTTTCATTATAGTAAAATTAATTCACTTTTATGGCGCTGAATGCTGGCCAATCACAAAATTCATTGCTCTTTACACACCATGGAGATGCACATGCTTTATTGGTCATTAGGTGTTCCTCTTCTTGACCGTGTCAGCAATGACACAGACAATAAATGGGCATTGCACCAATACCTGAGAAAATGCAGGAGAAATCCCTACAGTGGTGTAGCCATGTCTTATGAGCAGCACCCCACACCTTCACCTGCATCACCGTCCATTTTATCACAGATGGCAAGCACCCAGTGGAAAGCTGAAGCAAAGATGGCAAGATACAAGAAATGCAGACATGAAATTTGCCCAGTTGGACCTGGATGCTACATTTGATATACGAGATGGCATTTGTCAATTCAAAAATTGGACCCTGCACTTGTGGGAATAATGCGAGGAGGAGGAGGAGGAATTTATTTTTATATTTCTTGGTTGCTTTATACAGGAGAGTGATTCAAGGAAAATTACTTGGCTTAGATAGCAGGAGTTAAATTTAAGATTTTACAGGAATCTGTATAATTTCATATTAATATCTACAGTACTTTGGCACTGCTCTTTAAACTACCTTTAAAAACAGCTTTGAAACTGGCTAAAGGTTCCATATTTACAGTATTTATTAAATTTCTATCCTACCTTTATTATTTTACAAGTAAGGCATCAAAAATACATAATACTGTGCATCATTACATAATGGGTGAACTGGCTGTGTCATAATTGTTTAATCGGTCAGCCAATGACATTTCACTTGGAATCCTACAAGCAAGGGAACTAGACAACAGAAAGTCAGCTATTGGGTACATCTGTATTCCTGAAAAAAAAAATTAAAGAGACCCTGAAAGCACTGCGCTATGAAATGAGTTTGGATTCTGAAAGTACAGCATGTGCCACAGGTATGAAGTACCCAACAACGTAGCTAATTTGAATGTTGGGTAACTATCACAGTGAAACAATTTGACAGTGTTTTTATATAAAAGTATTTCAAACTGCTATGATGTGTTTAGAAGTATCTGTAGTCTTTATTCAATTACTATCTTATGATAAATCCCATGCAGTGATGTAACTGCGTTAAAAAATCTTTTTTTTTTAAAAAAAATATCTTTTTAGGTAGCCGTTGTTGACGTGTCTTTTTTTCCTCCTGGATGGTTTCTTAGGAGAGGACATGTTTGTTTCTGTAACACTCTTACTTGTGGACACCAAAGCAATAGAATGTTAAAGGAGAATGTTGGTAGGTCAAGGTTGAAATGAGGCGTCCTTGGTGTTCTCTGAACTTAGATGTTTACTTGCAGAATTGAGAACAAATCTCATTCCCCACTAGTGACAGTACAAATTAGGGGGCGTGTATAAGCGCACCAACGTGCCTGCCGTCCCTGTCCTATTGTTTGTTTCTTTTCTTATTCGTATCCATTTCATGTATTCATAACCATGTTTATACTTATACCTCTTATCTAATAATCGTTTGACAAAATAAAATAAATAAAAAATAAATAATTTGGGTAATGAAATGTCTGCTAGCAAACAACCAAGCTGAGAGAGCACCAGGACTCCTCAATTTAGGTTCAGCATAATGTAAAGAACGTAAAGAATTAAAATATAAATGCACAATTAAGAATATTTAATTTACTCCTGTATTATGCCCTATATTTGATCATGATGATTCACCACACTTCAGGGGAAAAGAAGGAATATGTACACATGCGCACACATACACCACTTTATGGCAAGGGCTGTGTAGCCATGATTCTCTAATTACATTACACTTGGCATTAGCCAGGTTTGCAAATGATGCTAAGGCAATTGATAATTTTTAAATAAGCTACAGTGCCAAAGCCAAAAGCCAAATAAACTTATGTTTTAGTATGCTTTGTCATACTCTGATAATTTCAGATGGATTCCTAAACAGTTTTTAAATAGCCCCACAAACTCATTATTTTTGTAAACTATTCTACCTTGAGAGAATTGAATTAATATTTGGGATAAAAATATTTTAAATGAGTGACTGTTTTCAGAATATTTAGTGTAATTACTCTACTTAGCATGTAGGCTCCTATTTCCAACAGGCTATTTCAAGCAACATTTGTTAGGCTTCTTTAGTATCCTAAAAGCAATAAAATAAATTTGTAAATGACTTGCTGCAATATTTTATTTTTAAGGTATCTGTGTTCAAAGAAATTTGTACGTCGAAAGAAAATTCCTAAAATAGCCCATGCAAGATGATGCCATTAATTTTGTCAATTTTTATCTTAAGCTTCTGAGGATTTTCATTAAAATTCTGCATCCTCTGCTTCAAAGTTATATTAAGAAATTCAGTGGAGGCAGAAGATTCAAGATATCTTTCACTTTTAAAGCTATAGACATATAACTTAAGAAATATAAAATAGACTGTTCTTGCAATGCAATTCATAACAGCATTAAGTCATTATATTCAGCCTGAATGGGCCATCCTGTCTGTACTGATTCAGAATTAAGTTTTATCGAGCACTGGAACTTTCTTTTAACTCAGCTAGGGTATACTATTCAGTTATTCCTTCATAGTAGATAAAATAAGTTCTGGATACTACATATTAATCTATTTCCTTTAGGCTTAGGAAGGATGCTTAAGACTATATTTACAGAGATGTTTGAAAACTGCTTATACTTTAGAGGTGAATAATCATTGTTCCTGTTCCACACAGAGGCTGGCGCACCAAATTTGTTCCTTTGCGACACTTGTGGAAGGCATTTTGTGCCAGAAGCACTGGTAAAATAAGAGCATTTTGTACTGAATGTACTTAAGTGATTTTAAAAAAAAGAACCAATGCCTGTTTTGCTCAAACTCAATGAACATCTCCTCAGAAACAAATGAAATAAAAACAGGAAGATGTTTAGCAGGTTGATGACAATTGTACTGATTTATGCAAGCAAAACAAAAGCCTTTGTAAAGCAGAGTTGTTCATAAAAGTATAATTCTGTACTAAATGTGAGAGTGGTGATATATCCCAACTCTGGCAATTTATTGATTCAGAATCAGGATTCAAAATCTTACAATTCACTTAACAGCTGTATTGATTCACTTAATTGTGGCAAAAAAAAAGTTCATAAAATCCAGCACAGCTCACTTAATGACTGTCTTGCTTAGCCACAAAAATTCTGGTCCCAATTGTCATAAGTTGAGGACTATCTGTAACTACATATTAGGTAAGGGAAAACCCATGCCCTTAATATTTTAATTGAGGGGGGTCTAAGTAATGGTTTATAAATCTTCCCAGCATCTGTATCACAATTCAGAGAAAATTAAACAGAACATTTGGAGTCACTACACAAGCATGCCACCTATAGATTATGTGATAAAGTGGGATATAAACCTGATATATACAGATTAAAAATAGCTACTGGCTCAGTTTTTCTCTGTGGTATGCAATCCTTCCCGTTAAACTGGACTCAAAACAGATTGGCCAATTAGCCTACTAAAAACAGTGATTACATGCCATGAATTGGGGTAGACAGAAGGAAGGAACCTGTAACTTTGTGTGACACACAAGCACATTATTATTCCCAATTAAGTATCAAGATACTGAAATACACTAAAGGTTGAAATGATCATAATTTCCCTGGGCAGAAGGGGAGAGAAGAGTTTGAAGTACAATAAATAATATACAACTGCGCTAGTTTAGGAACGTGACCATATGACTTTACCTGTCCTTTAGTTAAGGCACAATCCGATATGCAAAAGAATTTTCAACAAGAAGCGCAAACCGTTCAATTCTTTGAAACAACGACTACAAGGAACTGACATCCCAACAGTGAAAAAGAAGCCACCCACGAAGGTAGACCTGTCAACACCATTCCCAGGTTTTCATCAATAAGCTTTAAGGAAGAAGCTGGATTCTTTTTGTAGACTGGGGTTGACCTAATATAGAGATTTTGGAAGGTCCCTTAACATTTATTACTTGATCACCAACATTTAGCTAATGCGTGGAATTCCAACCTTTCCTTATCAGATATAAAATGGGGTGAACATTATTTGTCTTCTGCTGCCCTGCCAACATTCATTTGAGATAAATCCTGTTAACAGGAATAGCATTATCCAGTGGTGGGATTCAATGTTTTTTACTACCAGTTCTGTGGGCGTGGCTTGGTGGGCGTGGCAGGGGTTGGATACTGCAAAATCCCATTCCCTCCCCACCCCACTCCGTTCTCCTGAAGTCCCAGAAAGAAGAAAAGAAGTCCCAGCCAATCAGCTGGGATTCGGGAGGCAGAGAATAGATGGGGTGGGACTAGTCAGAGGTGGTATTTGCTGGTTCTCCGAACTACTCAAAATTTCTGCTACCGGTTCTCCAGAACGGGTCAGAACCTGCTGAATATCACCTTTGGGTTCATCCCTTATTTGCAAAGAGGTGACATTTGTATTTCCAGGCCTAGAAATGTGAACTTCAAGGGTGTACCATTTTTGCCTCATCCATGTAGCTGCTATCAGGATTCAACCATGTTCTTCCACCTGAGTGAATGAATTTAGCTTCTCACCTTATCCATATACTCAGCCATGGCAAATAAATGGCTTTGGGTCAGTCATTCCATCTAAACCCAGTATATCTCTCAGGCTTGTGGTGGGAGGGGAAAAATGAGGGAGTGTTAGGTATGCTGATTTATGTTCCGTAGAAAAGGTGTAATGAAATGGGCTGCTTCTCACCTTCCCTTCCGTTTGTCCTAGTAGTCTGTCAGACCTCCCAAGCAATCTTCTCTTCCAAACTTTCCTCATTCCCATCCAATGACTATTGGCTCTCCTACAACAAAAGCAAATTTGGAAAATTATGTTTGTCCTAAACAACTAATGATAAATAACAATATACATATTTTGTATCTTCCAGCCAATATTGACTCTTAGAGACTCTTTGGACTAGTCTTTGCAGTTTTCTTGGCAATATTTTCAAAAGTACTTCCTAGGGCTGAGAGGGTGTGACTGCCCCAGGGACACCCAGCTTAGTCCGGCCTAAGGCAAGACTAAAACTCATACCGTAGTATCCCCATTTCCATCCAGAAATGGGGATACTATTATTCAAGCTGCCTCTTATAATAGCCATTGGAATGTTATTTTATTATTTGTAATCTGTTCAAAATCTCTTAAAATTGTTTTTCAAAACAACACTTGTAATTAATATGTATGCACTGATTGGAGGAAGAGAAATCTAATTCCTTTCCAGAATGGACGAGAGAAAAAGTCGAATTGGAGACAACAGCATGAAGATTTTATTTCAGCCATCAGAGCAGCTAAACTTGCAACTCGAGCCATGAAAGAAGGACGTCCTCTTCCACCACCACCACCTCCGTCCATTAACCCAGGTGATTTACTTGTTCTGAAACTACATCTTGACTTAAAAGTAGAAATTTCTTGGAAGAACCAAGTCTCTGGCTCATGGCTGTAGACAGTAATAGTCTCTAAAGGTTTCTCAGCCTAATTTTTTCCTACTATATGATGGCTCCAGATGGTGATTCAGTGAATGTGTAGTGGCCCTCATATTTTCAAATAGTGTTTCTATCTAATCTCAAAACTCGAAAGTGTTTAAAAAATAATTTGGAAGGGTTTTGAAGAAAACATTAGGAAACCAGCTGTCAACCTTTGAAGCAGAGCAGGAAACTTTGGCTTTATTGATATAGTTATAATTAAAATCTTGAAAGCCGGAGTGTGTTTGCCCTTCTCTCACACCACAGTGAATTAGAATTCAGCCTGTCTGAATTTCTTTCTCACACTTTCTGTTTCATGGACTTAATGTATGCTTGTTTTGATAACCTTTTCTCCAAGGTCATTTCTGTGGCTCTTTACACTAAATATAGCTTTCTTAAGAGTAGAACTATGGAAATACCATTCATTCATTTGCTCCATTTCTATGAAGTTGCCATTCATATACTCATCCTCCAAGTATCATTTGAGATAATGATGGTGCTTTATCATATTCAGATTATATTCAGTGTCCTTACTGTATGAGAAGGTTTAATCAGACTGCTGCAGAAAGGCACATCAACTTTTGCAAAGAACAAGCTGCCAGACGATCCTTTGCACCAGGCCAGAAGGGAGGCAAACCAGCCTCAGTAAGTAACTGGACTCTATTCAAGCTCTTTGCTTCTACCATTTTTCTCTCATCCTTTTTTGAAGGATCATCATAAACTATAGAATTTTGACCAAAGTTGTCATTGTTGTGGCTCTTTCACTTCAGGTTCAGGAAATGACAAGTAATCTTTTGGAATAAAGAACAGATGAAAACTACATTTTTTCTTTTCCAGTAATGGTTCTTCACTTTCCCTTTAAGTTAATTGTTTTAGAATTATTCTTCGTGTAATTACATAAAAGCTTTCTTTGGACTAGAATATTAAATTAGAATTCCTAATGGTCATCTTTTCCAAAACTTAGAAAAAGATGGTGGATCAATTATGTGAATAAAATATTCAGAAGCCATAATTTTAAAAAAGCTAACCATACTAAAATGTATTCAAAGTGAATGCTTTTGGAAGACAATATTTTGTTCAATGACCAGAGGAGGATTATGTGGTTTTACATGCTGTGCTTAAAGCAAAAATCAAAGGAAAATCTTAGAAGAAATTTTGGGTTCTGTCATTTGTAGAAGTTTGGAATTTCACTTTCTAAAGACTTTTCCAAAGGTGAAAAGAATTGGCTTTACTTTGCAACAAACAAGTATTAAGTTTTTATTAATATGCTATAAACTGTGATTTATTATATTAATAATGAGCCATTGGGACATAGTAGTTAGAACACAGTATTACAAGCTGACTCCACCCACTACCAGGAGTTTGATCCTGACCAGCTCAAGGTTGACTCAGTCTTCCATCCTTCCAAGGTTCATAAAATGAGGACCCAGATTGTTGGGGGAAATAGGCTGACTCTGTAAACTGCTTAGAGTGCTTTAAAACATTATGAAGCTGTATATTAGTCTAAGTGTTATTGTTATTCTGTCCAGCAGCATGGTTATGAGTAGAGCTGAAATAAAAAAATTGAGAATACAAGAGGTTTTAAAGCTCTATTTGGAAGCAAGAGTTTGATGGTTTTCTGCAAATACTGCCATGTTTATCAAGACTCACTGAATTGTCCTTTATAACCTTATCATTCATATAATTAACTGAAAATTGTACTAGATCATAATACTCTATTTTACTACTTAGCAAGCAAGGAGTAGAACTAGTAGTTTCTCCCAAAGTATTCCAGGTTTTGGTTGGGATGGGATGCAAAAGTTTGCAGTCTATTTGCTCAACAACAATTATAAAGAATTTTCAATGTCATTTTGTTATGACAAAGTCCGTTAACTGAGAATCAGAGTTATGTGGTAGACAGTAATGAATTAGGAAAATTGCTTAGATAGGAATTTCCCTTCCAAGTGAAGTTTACTGGGGATATCTAAAAATTGCTCAATCAATATCAGTGTCTTATCTTCTTTTATTCTTGCTCCTTTGAAGGTATTTTTAAATATAAACAAGATTATATTACACTCTGAGCCTCTGTTGTGATGCTGTTTAGTTATTTATGCTGTTTTCTAGGGGAAACAAGGAATTTCCAAAAAAGAACCAACTTTAACAAATGCTGTGGGGACACTACTTCAGAATAGATTACAAGGAGCGAATACTGGCCCATCAGTAACAGGTAGGCAACATATCTGAAATGTTTAGAAATACTGAATGCTTAAAGTCGTCCCATCAGAACCACAACACCTACTGGAGTATTTCACCAGTAATGCCATATTCGCAGATACTATATATCAGAAGTGTCCAACCTTGGCAATTTTAAGATCTGTGGACTTCAACCTGTGGAATTCTGGGAGTTGAAGTTCACAGGTCTTAAAAGTTGCCAAGGCTGGAATTTTATATCCAATAGAGAATTTCTTGGAAATCCTTTTTAAAAAAATCTTCTCTAGATTGTTATATAAATCTTATGTTATAAATTAAGTTTAGCTAATTATATGCCAACTGCAGTCATATATAATTATGCGATATTAACTTGACATACAATGGAACAACACATTAGTCTAATGTATAGTTTTCAGCAAGTTTTTTGCTGTTCTACATTATTATTTTAAAAACAAGATTGTATAATTTTTAATGTTTACTTCCCCAGTTACATATTATATACTATATTAGCATATAGCATTTGGGTGAGCTAAAATTGATGCTCAAGATCTTTTTGCTGATTAATCTTACTCTGACTTAACTTCAAAGTAAAATCATACAAGTAGCACAAATCATACCTCTATTTGTAAAGGTAAAGGTTCCCCTTGCACATACGTGGTAGTCTTTTCCGGTTCTGGGGGGGTGCTCATCTCCATTACAAAGCTAAAGAGCCAGTGCGCTTGAAGACATCTCCATGGTCATGTGGCCGGCATGACTAAACAGTGAAGGTGCACAGAAGGTGTACCTTCCCATCAAAGTGGTCCCTATTTTTCTACTTGCATTTTTACATGCTTTTGAACTGTTAGGTTGGCAGAAGCTGGGACAAACAATGGGAGCTCACTCTGTTACGTAATGGGATGCAAAAGCTTGCAGTCTATTTGCTCGACAACAAAAAAAAAAAAGGATTTGAACCACCAAACTGCCAATCTTTCTGATCGACAAGCTCAGCATCTTAGCCACTGAGCCACTGCGTCCCTATTTGAGTAATGTTCAAAAAGTGGATTTAGGATTAACTACTGAGCTAATTAAATTCCAGTGTTTAATGTAAAATGGGAAAATGTAATTTGAATTAACAGTGCTTCAAATTACTTGACTTTGCTGATTCATTCAAATATATCATTCTCAAGATATATTTTTCAGAGTTCTTTCTTGCTGTTTTAAAGGACATGGTATTGAAATTTCAGCTGGAGCAGTACACAAAAAGATATCCCCCATTTCCTCTGGAACAGAATCTGGGTAAGATACATTATATAGATTAAAAGGCTATAGTCTAATCCAGCATATTGATCTGAGAGGATTTGGGCCCATATGATTCCTAGATAAGTCGAGTACAGGTAGTCTTCAATTTAGAATTGGAAAACTATAGCATTTACTGTATGCTTCATATCTATGACATATTATTTATTTCTCCATTTTTTTACTTCATTTTCATGTTTATGTTTACATAAACATACCATTTGCATGACTTACTCTGATTTATATACATTTGATTTACATGAAATACTAAGCCACAGATCAATTTCATTAAACTTCACTACCATACTGACAGATTTATCAAAGGCTTTAGTGATAAAATATTGTAAAATTGTTCCAAAATTCTGATATTTCCTGTGAATTCTTAAGCCTCCCTAGTCAGTTTATTAATACTCCACCTTTTTTTATAAATAACCCAAGGCAGCAAACATGCCTGATACTTCTTCCATATAACCCTGAGGAGAGTTGGGTTGAGAGAATGACTGGCTCAAAGACACCCAGCCAGCTGGTTTCTAGGCCAGCATTTTAACCACTAGATCAAACTGGCTTTGTTATTGGTGTAATGATTGATATAGAGTTGACCTAAATTTAAGAGCTGCAAACTGGAGCTATCAATAGCACATTATTTCCCATTTTTCCCCATCCTGTAGATACTTAACTAATTTATTTCCCTCAGCCTCTTAAACCAACTTTTGTTCATATTCTCTTTTCTCCTGTGCTACTTGTTCTTCTATATTCCAAAGATGCAATGTAATACTAGAACAAATATATCTACTAATGAACTGTGAAACCATATTGCACTTTCTCAAATTGGCCAGTCCATCAGGCTTGTTTTGTTATCATCTGCTTTATTTTAGACTACCTAAATTAACGCTTGCCTGCTCTTAGGGCTCCAACTCAAGGAAGAAGATGAGGAGAACATGCCCACCAAACTTTTGAATAGCAACCTTTACTTTTTACAGCACCTGAATTAGAAGAGCTCAGCAAACCAGTTTACATACATTCAGCCTCTCGTCTCTTTTAAAGCTTGTACGATGGATTGAAGTGTGATAATAAAACTAGCAGTCATATTCCAATTTTTACAGGTGATAATCTTATGTAAGTAAGAATGTTTCTGGCTTTATGGTCTATGTTTTCTATTTTTTCCCTTTGGTCAACTCCTATGCCGCTTTAATCAAAAAATGACTCTAGAGCCTTTACACAATAGAACTAAGATGTCCGGTAAATAACTAAAAACAATGAAACTGTATCAGTACAAATATATTTTATGGAAGCCTCAAAGTCTTGACTCACAAAGAACTCAGTGGACATGTTGTTCCACAGGACAAGACAGCTATCAAGAAATGTCTTCTAGGTATCAAAAGGTCTGTGTTTTATAGCTGGGAACAGAAAGTTTCCAATTCTTTCAGATCTTACTTAGGCAGTAACCATAGGAGAAAAACATCCCTGTAGCTAACTAGACACCCCAAGTGAAATTCCTTTTGCAAAAATTTCCCAAAGTGGTTTTCCAATGCTTTCTTCCAAGGTCTGGGACTGACTGGCCCAAAGTCACCCTGCTACTTTTAACCTTAAGACTTGAACTCCTAGTCCCCCAGTTTCTAGCATGTTGCTTTAACAACTAAACTGGCTCTTGCAGAGAATATCACAATAGTGCAAATGGAAAGTGACTAAGGGATGAATGACTGTGTGAATGGCCTGCTCATCAGGAAAGGACATAATTCGTACACCAAATAGATCTGTTCAAAAGCCCTCCTGACCAGTTACCTACTTTCTCATTGAGCAGGAGCTCAGAATCCAGGAGGACCCCCAAATTTGTACTGGTTTTATCTGGCAGTGCCACCCAGTTAGGTATCACAAAATATGTTATGCAAAATAGTTTGACAGGGCTATTGATCAATGCACTGGTTAACAAATATAAACCTTTGGCTTTGTCATTAAAGCTAATTTAATAGGATGACCAAGCGTAGGGATCTTTGTACAGAAACCATCATACAAATGGCCAACTATACATTTGTTTTAACCTGAGATTGCTCAAGGGCTGCATAGCCACCAGGTACAAACTGAGATTATTTTGGAGCTGCATTAATATTATGCCATCTATCAGTGGCTCCTTGGTTTGCTATTTCAATTGATTACCCACACAATTATTTTTACTTTTCTTTAAAAAAAGCATTATCTTTTATTAAACCGAATTGTGAAAACGCCTCCCAAACACTCCAAAGTGGAAAATGAAGGGAGGGGGGGAAAAAAAGATCCGTTTGCAAGTCTTTAAAGCAAGCCATCCCCGTGCCCGTCTGTGTGAAACCATCGGGCCTCGCTCTGCTCCGTCTTTGTCCCAAGTCCCCTCAGGCTAGAGAGGGCAAAAGTTCAGAAAATGCCCTCCCCGCCATGTAGGGTGTACGAAACACGTCGGGATCAGTTTAACTGCGGCAGTCCACAAGCAGTCACGGGTGGGTGGAAGGAGGCGGTACAGAATCCAATGTTTCCCCAAATGGAGCGAGGGGTCCGCAGGGTCGGCAAGGTTGAGCTCCTTCATTCATTCATCCATTCATCCATCCATCCTTCCTCGCTCGGGGTGGGCTGCACGGCTGCAAAGCTTAAGACTCGTCGGGCTTGTCGGCGGGCGGCCCGCAGGGTTGCAGCATCTTCTCCATGAGGTTGAAGCGGACGCGGGCTTTGCTTTCGTCCTCGGCGATGGCGAAGTAGTTGAGCAGGTCGAAATGGCCCATGTAGGAGCAATAGGAGTCCCGGTGCTGGTTCACGAGCCACTCCCACTTGGTGGTGTCGGCATGGCCGGTCCCGATGTACTTGGACTGTAAATGCTCCAACTGGCTGTGAATCGTGTAACGGTCCGTCATGGTGCGCAAGGAGGTTAGGACGCCAACCCGAAACAGGCCCCACCACGCGCCAACGGTCCTCGAGAAAATGGAACCTGAAGCAAAAAAAGGCGGCCCGACGCCACTTCCGCTTCCGGCTTTACGACCCGCAGATCGCCTTGCGGCCAGTGTTCCGCTCTAGCCCTCCTTCTATGGTTACGATCATAATTTTCACGAGGTGGGAAGAGGCGGGCTTTAGATCCTTAAGAAGCCTAGTAATTGTTGTTCCCGCCTTTTTTTTTTTTAAACGAATGGAAGGGCCGGTTTCCTTTTTAATTTTAAAATGTCAAAGAGAGAAAGAGAGAGAGAGAGAGAGAGAAAAAAAGAAAGCCAGTCGAAGTGCATTTTGGGGGTTGGAGTCTTTGGAGAGGAATTCTCATGTGACGATGAAGAACACGACGAATAGAATAACAAGAGTTGGAAGGGACCTTGTAGGTTATCTAGTCCAACCCCCTGCTCAAGCAGGAGACACTATAAATGCAATCTACTGTAGTAGTTTTCTCGGCAGCGCTACGAAATGCTTTTTAGCTATGCTATTCTGGGATTTTTAAAATGACTTCGGCATAGTTTCCTAGGCAGAAGTTAAAGAGGCGGAATTTTGCTTATTTTTCCAGATAACTTCAATATGGGAAGTTCAAAACTCTTAGTATTATCTCTAGATTAAGTTGGGTGGCTGGTATAAAGCAATCCCTCAAAGAGAATAACTTCTCTATATGCTTACTATTGAATGTGTCTATCTATTAGCTAATCCCAAATCACTCTTGTGCAAGCCAGGTCTTCATTTCTCAGAGCAGCCAAGTGTTTTCACCAGCGTTTGTATGAAAGATTTAAGATTTAAGTAATTTAAGAAAGTATCTCTGATCACGTGCCAAATGTTTATTGTTAGCTATCTACAGTCAAATAATTGTAAGGCTTGTAAGCCTTTTGTAGGAGATCTTTCCTATTTTGTTTTGATACAGGAGCAGAGCAAACCATGGGGATTCTGATTTCCTTCATACACTTAAACAATTACTATATTTTAAAAAGTTTCACAGTTTCGATAATACATTCTTCAGTGCAATATTTTCTATATTACTATATTTAAAAAAGTTTCACAGTTTCGATATTAATACATTCTTCAATGCAATATTTTCAGTGTTATCTCATAATGGAAAATGGTGAGAAAAGAGTCTTCAACCTGCCACACCTATTTACAGTCTCAGTGAACAATTTAGTAATTGAACCATAGAAGCTCTGAAAACTGCATGAATTATTTCTCTGTTTAATCAAGGACAGTTTAACTTGAGAAATAATTCTAATTGTTTGAGTTCATAAAATATTTATTTCAAAATTCAGAGCTTGGCCAGATGAGATAAAATGTACTCCTGTTTTGTTATATTCCTTTTCTTCACTGAATAACTGTGTTTTGACCAAGGTAAAAATACTTGTCATGTTAGGCCTGTAAAACAGGTACTGCAAGAATTATTATATATAGGTTCTTTCTGGAATATGGGACAAATACTGGTTATTGTGGGCCAAATGCCAATTGTCTTTTGGACTGGAGCACTACAAATTTTGGTACTAGCTTTATACTAGTTTCATTTTAAAAAATGAATAGCATGACAGCAGGTGAGGAAGACAAATGGCTAAAAAATGTAAGTGCATATTGAACTGCAAACGTTTGGTAATCATGTTTATGTATAATCATGTAACATTGTTTGGTTTATAATCTGTATAATCATGTAACATTGTTTGGTTTAGACAGGAAATGTCAAAGATCTATTGGTATGTCCAACTCATGTGTATATGATCTGACCACTGTATGTATTCTAGACCTTCTGTACAAATTGAAGTATTTTGTTAAAAAACAACAAAAGCTGTATTGATCATCCAGGGGAAATGAAAATTGGGAGAGATCACTAACACTAAGCTAAACTATTCTAGTACTGATTTATTAATTTTAATTGATGCAGATCCATGTGAACACTTTGAATCCACAATTAGATGCACTAATTAATGAATTAATGGGTCTTATTATCTGCAGAAACTACCATACTTAATGTTACATCTAAATAATCCTTATTAGTAAGTAAAACTAATTCTTACTCTATATGGAAGCTAGTTTTTTATACAATTGCCAAGGGCTAACTACAGTGGTGGGATTCACATTTTTTCACCTACCGGTTCTGTGGGCGTGGCAGGGGAAGGGTACTGTAAAATCTCCAGTCAGAGGTGGTATTTGCCGGTTCTCCAAACTACTCAAAAGTTCCGCTACAGGTTCTCCAGAACTGGTCAGAACCTGCTGAATACCACCTCCGGCTAACTATAGAATAACCTGCATGGGTGGGAAATGGCTCAAATCTAATTCAGTCATATTGAACTTCAAAAGGAGAACTAACTCACCCAAGGAAGAGGATTACTTAAAAGGACACAAAAAGACACAGTTCCTATAGTCAGATCCTTCCTCAGAAATACAGGCAATCTATTCTTGCTGCAGAATAGCAGTAAACTGAAGATCAAGTTTTTGTTTTTAAAGACTGTACAGACATCAGGGGGGGAGAAGGTTTTTTTTTCTCTTTTGCCTGTAGCCTCTTTATCACATTGTTTTTTTCTTAGTTGACCTGATTCCAAGTCAGAATTTGTCCACTTCTGCTATCTCATGCACACTTTACCCTTACGTGTATAAAAGTCTAGTATTTGGGGAGTAAGAGGAAGAATTGCTTCTGACTATTTTATGAGTTTCTTTTACAGGAAAAAGACACAACTTCCTGCTAGCAGTGTGTGTCTATCTCTGGATGAAAACTCCTGATTTAATCCCCTAACTCTTTGATAAAAAGTTCAGGAAGCAGGTGGAATGAAAGAAACCTAAGGTAGAGTTTCTCCACCTTGGCTGCTTTAAGATAGGTGGACCAACTCCCATGCTAGCTAGGGAATTCTGGGAATTAAAGTCCACTGATCTTAGACCAGCCAAAGTAGAGAAATACTGACCTAGAGAGAATGGCTTTGAATCCAACCAATCAGGTTGCCATGGTCTGTGAGAGCATTATATAATCCAGTGGGCTGTTTCATGATTAGGAGGTAAAAGCTAAAATGATGACTCATGAAGTTATAACAAACATCTCTCCCTAGGGTGAGTAATCCTGCTGTCTATGTACCCCTGGAATGTTTAAACAATGGTATTATAACTAATACAGAAAGACAGGTGGATGACTGGATCCCAGTTGAAACAATCACAAGGAGCCTTAGTGGGCAACCTCATTTAGCTGTGATCTCATGGTCACAAAAGGCAGAACCTCCAGAAGAAAATATTTACCCACAATTTCCACGTGAAAATAACCCTAACTATGGTGTGGTTTCCGTTCACTTTACATTTCCTTGGCAGGGGAGGGATGTTCTTCTCAATTTCATTTATAAAAACATGTATATGCATGTGTGTAATCCCTCCACATTTTTCTAAATCCTTTATCCCAACAGATGAAATTTAAAAAAAAAAAATTTATGTTTTTATGTTGGATGAGTATGCATTTGTACCTGTTTGTAGGTGCGCATATTGGTGTATAATAGTATAATATATATATTTTTTTTAGCAATTCAGAGAAATATGTTGGGTGCACACAGAATGTCAAAAGCATTTCTTTTGAATACTTTTTCACATATGCTAAGTCAGCCCTGCTGTTGAGTGAAAACGGCAGTAACAACTTAAAGAAAAAATAAAGGGCCTTCAGTGGAGAATAGGATGGAATTCCAAGAATCATCAAGTTGTTTCCATTGTTGGACAGAAGGGTGATCTTAAACAGTGTGGAATGTACTTATAAGATTCTAAGTGGGCATAAAATAAGGCAGATGTCTGCTTTTCAACAGAAGTGGACAACTCCGCCTAATATCAGCTCATCATCATATGAGCCATGATGGCGCAGTGGTTAGAGTGCAGTACTGCAGACTACTTCTGCTGCCTGCAGGATGCCTGCAATTTGGCAGTTCAAATTTCACCAGGCTCAAGGTTGACTCAGCATTCCATCCTTCCGAAGTGAATAAAATGAGGATCCAGATTGTTGGGGGCAATGTGCTGATTCTGTAAACAACTTAGAGAGGGCTGTAAAGTGGTATATAAGTCTTATTGCTATTGCTATCACTCCTTAATGGAAGTTAGAATTTTTCAGATATGCAAAGTGTCTTTTCTGAAGTCTTTTGAAACACTTTCTGATCGTGACAGGTGGTCATTGCTTAACAATACTAATTTGGACAGAAAAGTCTCATTAAGCAACATGATTGCAAGTTGAAAAACTACATAATCACAATCAGAAACTACATTATCAAAGTTCAAAAACCTAGAGACAGCAGTTCCAGTAGTCCCAGTTGCTGTTTTTAACGGAGACCACGCATCGTAGGAACAGCTGATTGTTGGGATGGGGAAAAAAAATAAGTACTTAAAGAGTGACTGGGTGGGCTGAGTGTCAGGCGGGCGGAGTGAGTGAGCATCTGGATGGGGGGGGGTGCCAGCCAGAAGTTACTACTGGTTTGGCGACCCACGCCAAATCCTTGCTACCAGTTCGCCTGAAGCGGTGCGAACTGGCTGAATACCACCACTGTTAGTGACCCCTCAAAGTTACATCACTGGAAAAAAAGACTTATGACTTATCACACTTACCATGATTGCAGCATCCCTTTGGTCACATGATCAAAATTCGGACACCTTGCCACTGATTCTTATTTCTTATCTGATTCTTATTTATGACTGTTACAGTGTATCAGAATCATGTGATCAGCTTTTGTGACTTTCTGATAAGCAAAGTCAACGGGAAATCCAGATTCACTTAAGAACAGTGTTACTAACTTAAGAACTGCAGTGATTCATTTAACAACTGTAGTGAGAAAGGTCATAAAATGGGGCAAAACTCACTAAAATGTTTCACTCAGCAACATAAATTTTGGGCTCAATTGGTGTTGTAAGTCAAGGACTATTTGTATAGAAAACTGTAACCAAGACACAAGATTCCTCCTCAGATAATTCCAAAACATTTTGCTAAGTCAAAGAATAAAATGTTATCAGCTGACTTGTGCTCCATCATGCCTCAGGCTATCTGAGGGGGTAG